GTGGGGTTGTCAACGGACATTCATCCGCAATGAAAACTGCTTGGGTTATGTTGTCAACGAAAAGATAGTGACTACAAAACTACATAGAGTATGATACCTATGTTGTAGAAGAATATGCATGTGCATGCACGGACTGTGAAGAAATAATTAGAAAGAAATAATAGTTGAAGTTCCTAATACTCATTCCATATATTTACTGTATTTATCTCTAGAATATGGGATTATATGTGTTTCTTCTTTTCACTTACATAAAATTTATCAAGTCTCCAAAATTAGTAATGTTTTATTGTAAGACAAGTATGTTTGCATCTATATTGTGTATTTGTGTGCATGCATTTTCCCTTATTGGAATGTTCTTTGTAAGCACTCTTCATTTATTTATTTTTCTTTTTTATTTCTGTCATTATATTTACTTTTGTTTTTATTATTTTCATAATGAAATATAAATAACATACAATATTATGTGAGTTTCTGGTGTACAACATATTGATTTGACAATTCTGCATTTCATTTGGATAACAACTGACCATCTTCCATGTTTTTTTTTTTTTTAATTTTTTTTTTAACGTTTATTTATTTTTTTGGGACAGAGAGAGACAGAGCATGAACGGGGGAGGGGCAGAGAGAGAGGGAGACACAGAATCGGAAACAGGCTCCAGGCTCTGAGCCATCAGCCCAGAGCCCGACGCGGGGCTCGAACTCACGGACCGCGAGATCGTGACCTGGCTGAAGTCGGACGCTTAACCGACTGCGCCACCCAGGCGCCCCTACCATCTTCCATGTTTAAGCTCAAATGTCCCTTTCTGAGATTTGCCTTGCCATGTTACTTTGATTCTCATAGATATTATTTTTACCTTGTCATTTTTCTGTCATATTCTTATCCTACATAACAGTCATGACATTTTAGCAGCATATTTAAATACTTACTTGGCCTTATCTCTGTAATATCTGACTGCCCCATGAGAACAAGGATCACATCTATTGTGATACCAATTGTCTGAGATTTAGTAAAGGCTCAAACAATGTTTGCAGAATGAAAGACTTCTGAATGTACATCATCTTACCCAGTTTTCTACTGGTTACATTTACTGATTCCTTAAGAAGTTTTGTTCTTAAGCTCATTAGTTCAAAACTCAGTGAACCACTTCTTTTAGGTGAAGTATTCTTCCACATGAAATATTCTTTTAGTAGTCAAAGTTATCTCCTTAGTAAAACTAAAATTTGTGGAAATTTACAGTTGTGAGCACACTGATAAACAATTCAGTCAACATTTCTCAATTTGAAAAGTAAAATGTTAATATTAAATTCTTGTCTTTTTTTCTTTCACGTACATTTTAACATTTACTTGACACCTTGAAAGATTAATGAAGCTCCACTACTAACATATCAACGGGCAAATAAAGACTTAATTTTCCCTAATACGGGTGACATATAGTAATTAATGTTGGTTGAGGAATGGCTTATATTTTCTTGCTTTTCAAAAATATCAACTTGAATATTTTTCCATAATGTTGCAATAGTGAACTTGCACAATGTATTTCAGATATGCTACAAGTTGAATAGTTAGAATTTAATTTTGAATGCAAATGCATAAAAGTTACACAATATACACAATACATTTTCTTTAAAAGTTAATTTGTGAAAATGTCACCAGCTTGAGTTACTGTAAAATGACTGAGAAAGAACATTGATACAATGAAGGATTTAAGGAGCTCAAATTTCAAAGAAGTGATTAATGGTCTACTTAAAATAAACTGCAACATGGCAGTTAAAATAGAAAGATATGACATTTTCAATGACTGATGTGTACTTAAAGGCAATGCACAAAAGATAAGTTGCTAAAAATCAAGGGAGATATGCAAGATAAGGCATTAAAATCTTTGACTCATAAAGTCAGATTTTCAATCTATATAACCCTGAGAAAATTGGAAAAGAGAATCTAAAAGAGTGGTGTGAAGAAAAATAAGTGTATTATTTAACGTAACATTTAATCTCTATTAAGCAAAAAAATAAAGGCCATTTCCTGTGTATTTACAAAATGTGAAACGGCAGATGAATTGAATTACTGAAGATTGATTACATTAATGGCTCTAGTTCTTAACCCCTCCTTGTATCTGTGTCCTTTGCTTTGTGACTTTACAGCTCCTCTTACTAAAGGGACTAGGTTTATTTCCTTGACACTTTGTTCTGAATTTGGCAACATGAATTGCTTTGGCCAATGGTGTGTTAACAGATGTGGTGTATGTAGAGCCTTAACAAAGCATTTGTGTATTTTGACTTCGGCTCTTGTGATTTAACCATCACTATGAATACGTGCCCAGGTTTGCTTTGCTGGTAGTTAGAATAGATAGACCAGAACCAACTCACCCCCCTTGTATCAGCCATGGTCAACCTAGTTCCACTGATGGAAAACAAATACCTGATTGTGTGAATAAGTCCCACTAAGGCCAGTAGAAAACTCCAAGTAACCCTCAGACTTTTGAGCTAAATCAATGCTTTTGTGTTCAGCCATTGGCACTTGGTTTGTTGCACATCATTTTGAACAATAGCTACTATTACATGTGGACATGGTATTACTAAATTTCAGACTGTTTGTCTGAATAGGTCAAAAATATAAATTAGGAGTTTCCTTACTAGGGACACTGCAGCCATAATTCTCTAAATGTAATCTTTGTGGAATCTAGTTAATAAAGATGCTTCATCAGCTACTTTACGCAGAAAACTGTGTCATTAATATGGGTATAGTGACTAAAAATCCTGAATATTCTAGGACTGATCAGATATATGTTTGAACAATAAAGCCATGGTAGCCATGGGACATTTAAAATATTCAAACTAGGATAGTGGTCAAGTGGCAAAAACTCTACATGGAAAGGAAAAACATATTAAAAGAAAAACCTAACTAGAGAGCTGTTAAAATTCCTGCTAAACTCTTCTGAAGGAAATGCCATGTTCAAGTTTAGTTACAATTTATCAAAAAGGCTTATAACAGAAGAAGAAGGAGGAGGAGGAGGAGGAGGAGGAGGAGGGGGGGAGGGGGATGAGGGGGAGGAGGGGGAGGAGGAGGAGGAGGAGGAGGAGACCATGAGATAAAAAGAGAAGGAAAGGGAGAGGAGGAGTAAGGAAAAGAAAAAGAGGATAAAGAAGTCACTATCAGCAAGAGGACAATTATTGACATAAAAGCAAAGTTTTCAGTACTATTGGCAGAGCTTGTTTTCTCTAAGGAAAATTTTGAGGAAAGAAAATTAAAATGCCTAGGAACCATTCCCTAAAAGAGATACTCAACATATGTTTCATAGAAAAATAATTGAGCAAGACACAATGGAAGTTACCAAGGGCAGAGTGATCCACCCTACTAGAGGAATAATGTTAGGAACAATTTGTAGAAAAATGATATGTATCAGTGCCAAAAACTTCAATAGATAGCTACGCAAACACACACACACACACACACACACACACACACACACACACACACACCCCAAAGCAAGTACAACCAAATAAACAAACAAGGACATAAATAGATGATTAGAAGGAAACATAAGGATAAGAAATAAGAATGGAGAGAAGCCTAGGTCTCATTCTCGTATAAGCAATCCACTAAAAGTAATTGACCTAGAAATCTTGTCAGCTTTTACAAACATGGTCCAAAACAAAACAACAACAACAACAACAACAACAACAACAAACACAATTTTTTTCACAAAAGGAAATTAAAAAAATTGTTTTTACTTATTTATTTATTTGTTTTTTGAGAAAGAAACAGAGCGTGAGCAGGGAGGGGCAGAGAGAGAGAGAGGGAGACACAGAATGTGAAGTAGGCTCCAGGATCTGAGCTGTCAGCAAAGAGCCTGATGCAAGGCTCTCACTCAGGAACCATGAGATCATGGCATGAGCTGAAGTCAGATACTTAACCACCCAGGCGCCCCAGGAAAATTTTTTACAATTTATTTTATATCTCATTTGGTGAAACATTTGCACTACTACCTTCTGATTTAATCCTCTTCGAAACTATTATCATATTCCTCCAAAAACAGAGAGATTGGCTTTCAGTAAAGTTAGAAAATTGGCCTCAAAGTACACAACAGAGAAAACATTTGCACCCATTTCAACCTCCAGTAGGAACAGTGAAATGGTTGGTACACGAATCATAGTTTGAGATAAATAATATCTCATGGGGGAGAAATAGAAGCACTATAGTACACAGGCTAGAAGCAAGAGTTTTGGTGTCGGAAGCTAGTTTGAAAATTGTTTCGCACTGATAGTACTTAGAAAAATTAGGTTCTCTAATTGCCAATTTTGTTAAGTAAAGAAGCAAAAATGATCATAGAATCTATTTCATAAGGGCATTAGCACAGACATATTGTTGGGATTCAAGGCCAGCTCTTACATGTGGTTGTGGTGGCTGTTATGAAATAGAGAACTTGAGTGCTTAGTAATAGGAAGGAAAGAACCCATGCTTTGGAACTTGATTTGCAAACGGGCTCCAACCTGAACTGTCTGGGACTCTTAGAACATGAGGTAACATCTCTACTTTTTGTTACTGTTTTCTTCAGATAGCTCTAATATTTTCAAAATTTGAGGGGGAGGTTGTGCTTGAGGGAAAAAAAAATGAATTAAAGCTACTAGTCCAGTGCCTGAAACATAGGATGTATCAGGAATGGTAGCCATTAGTGCCAGTTCAATTATTTAGGTTTATTAATAGTTAACATGTATTAAATTACTTAAGTAATATTTAAAAGTAGTTGTATAATTTTTGGCAAACAAAGAAGAAAAAATGTTGCTTGAGTGTTCTCTATTCCTTGCTCAGAGTTATAAGCGTATGTCCCTAAGATTCTACAGAGATGGCTTATTAAATTTTAAACTGTAAGAAACTCAAAGAAAACTTATTTAAAATCTATTTTATAGTTGAATAGTTAAAGGTTCATTATTTTGCAAAGTCATTTAAATAACAATGACATGGCATAGGTAAGAATTGGGTTTTATGGTATTTGTTTCAGTGGAAAGAAGTCAGTTCCAGAAGGCATCATCCAAGAAGTGGAAATATGAGATACAACCCCAAAACTTGATAAACATGAGTGGGTAAACAAGAAGGGAAGAATTACAGGGTGAGTTAAGTAAACAAAGAAAAGTGCGCAGCTAACTTTAGAAAGTGAATTGCTCACTATCTCTGAAAGGGACTTTCCATATAGAGCACTAGCCAGGATTGGTGAAAATATAAGTTCAAGGTCTTATAGAGTTGTGAACGCCTGAATTATGTGGACATTGTCCTTTAGAGATGGACAAGTCACTGGATGCAATAATAAAATTGACTTTCTGAAGTATCTAAGGACATTTACGACCAACTGGAGGGCTAGTGAAAAGGAGAAGAAAGCACTATTATTTTTTTTCTTAAATGTAATTGGTAGTCAGCAGTACATAGAAATTCAACATAGAAGATAATGCATGTAGTGTATGAGGATGTATACAGAAAAGGAACAAAGTCCCACAAATAATCGTTACTTTCAAGTGAATTAATAAATAACATATATTTAAAAGGACTTTTAAATAGGTTTTTAAGGCAGCATTAAGAACAACTTTGTCATGTATATAAATACCTTTACAGACAGGATGTTTCACTAAACTTACAAAGCATACCATTAGAAAAAAAATGATTATCTTTGCTTCAGGCAGATAGCTATTTGTGGCTTTGATTGTCATTTCATAACATCTTTTGAGTGGCAACCAGCCTTTTACCTTAATTTTCTGATTTGACAGTTTTCCTCATGGCAAAGAATCATTAGTTCTTATCACCAAAGTTAACATATAAAATTAACCATGTCAGTAAAAACGCATTAATTTCCATTTGACTCTTTTGGAAATTGAGAGAACAGTCACCAAAGCAACCAGAATCCCTTGTCAAAATATCAAAATTATACTTCAAGTTTAAATACAACACATACATACATACATTTTATTTTCTTTGCAATGTGGATTGCTGTAAAGCCAGGGTGTAAGTAACAGGAAAAGTGGCTCAGAACTCGTCAAAAGTATATTTATATTTTCTGTGACTACTGTGGTTTAGAAGATAAGGCTATATGTCCCAGGGTTTAATAATCTGGGGAGGATGTGCACTAATACAAGTGAAAATAACTGGCCTACTGTTACATTTACAATCATCTTCCTTATTCGCTACGATAATATAGCTTGAAGGAAATTGTAGTAGTGTTCTTCAAAGCCAGAGTTTTTCATCTTAACTCTGAAAAGCTTTGACAACCCCTAAAAGCATATATCTATTATTGCTATTAAAATATGCCTAAATAAATATTGACAGAAGAACTGTGAGATACTAGTACAAAGAGTTAAACATTGTATTTTACTAGTATGTGATTTTAAAAAAGACAACAGTGTGCCATAGTAAAGTATATCTTTCAAGTAGCTGTTGTTGTTGTTGTTGTTGTTGTTGTTGTTGTTGTTGTTGTTGTTTATAGCTTACATTTTTTTTCAGGAACCGCGTTCTGGTTCTGAACATTAAGTTATAAACCAGGTGCACTATTGACTTCAAGACAGAATAGAATAACTATCCAAGCATTAAATACAATTGCGCCCTCTGAATATAAAGACCAATTTTTTAGTCCTTACTCAGTCAAAACTATCTTTAGAATCAGTGGGAGTGCTTACTAAATTAGGAATGAATTGGATTTAATAAACCCACAGCTGTGTCCATTTTAGCAAAGCTTTTTCTCTAGGATTCATCGTATTTTTTTTTTATTTTAACTAATGAAAAACTGTTTTGTATTACAAATATGATGAATAATTAAACAACCAGAGACTAATTTTGACAGCTCTATTTCTAAAAGCCTTCTTGAAAAGATAGCATCACTAGAGTAACATAGAACACTCATGTAAAAAAGCTAGGGTTTAAGGCAAAATTTAATACTTTAAATTGTATTTACTTCCTATTTCTATAGTACCATCTTATGGGTGTCTTTTGGATCTAAATAAAAAGAGCCTCTAGTCTAAATGAATTATTTCAAATAAATGAAGAATCCGAGGTGGGGGCGGGTAGGAAACTATATATAGAAATTTGGCAAAAGCACTAGGCTGAGGTTTGGAATCTTCCCATTCTCCCCTCTTCTTCTTTTCAGAGGACATAGAAAGGGAAAAAGCAATAATAAAACATGATTGCTTCCTATGATTATGACATTCTAAAGGGAAAGCAATTTTTGCATTAATATCATGAAAAATCTTTCTGAAACACCCAGAAACAGCTGTTTTAAATTCATCCGTAGCAAATGTAAAAGTAAATACTCTTGAAATTATGATGACAAAATGTTCATCTCAGCAATCAAACCATACTTCCCCTCTGAAAACATTTGTATGTGGTTGAAATTAGTTTTTCCACCCCTGTGTGGTAGAAAGATCCACACTGGCTCCCATAAAGCAAGGTGAACCAGGGTAGTTCATTTTGTAGTTGTTGATGTGTTATGCACGACCAAGTAATGCCTCTGATCTACTCACATGTAAAGTTTTAGTTTCAGGCAAAAGTGAGTGGAAAAACTCAACCACCAAAGTGATTCCCAAAGCCAACTTCAAGAAATAATTTTATTAATTTAAAACATTAATAACCGCTTTCTTGAAATTTTACTTTCAAACAATTCCTTAATTAAAAATGTGTCCTGTACAATTTCTAAAATGAATATTACAACACAATTTCTTCAAAAATTTAAAAGTATAAGTTAAAAATATGCTTTAATTTTTTAAATCTCTGTATTTGCACATATGAATACAAACATGAGGTCAGTGAATGTAAATATGTAATATGAGATGTAAAATAATGTGTTACTATTACCAAGGTTAGATCTGTATCAACCACAGATAAATTAGACATAATCTACATTGTCTAAAACAACTGAGTAGGGGTGCCTGGGTGGCTCAGTTGAGCATCCAACTTTGGCTCAGGTCATGATCTCGCAGTTTGTGAAAGTTCGAGCCTCACATCGGGCTCTGTGCTGATAGCTCGGAGCCTGGAGCCTCCTTCAGATTCTGTCTCTCCCTCTCTCTCTGTACCTCCCCTGGTTGTGCTCTGTCTCTCTCTGTCTCTCAACAATGAATAAATGTAAAAAAAAATTTAAATAAAAAGGAAAGAAGACAACTGAGTAACATGTAATGAAAAAGTATATAATCATAAACAACCATGAATAAACATAAGTTTGTTCTTATTGATAGATTATAAAAGCTTCATCCAAAGACAAGATTACAATTATTGACATTGCTTTAAAGCAGGATATATGTCTTTTTCTCCCTTTATCATATTCTAATTCAGTTATTGTGATTTATGAAGTCTTTAATTCATTTTTTGTTATATATTGAAAAATTGCATGTAGTAAGAGGGTAACCGTTATAATTCTATAGTGATATACTGATATCTGTTGGAATTGGTAATTGTTCATTCACTTTCTTGTTCAGCAGACATTTCTTCCACATATTATTCACTCACTCCTACAAATGTGTGTTATTTATGCTATATGTACAGGGGTACACACTTCTGTGTACTGGAGAATAAAAAACATGGCATAACTATCTTGGGGGGAAAAGGCAGAGTTGAAAAGTGGAATAGCGTGGCATGATACTGGCTGCCAGAATTAAGAAAGTATTTTCCTATGGCAGATTAAAACCAAAGAAACAAGTTGACAACCATTTGCTCTCTAAAAAAGATTAAAAAATCAATGTGTGTGTGTGTGTGTGTGTGTTTGTGTGTTATTAATGTGTTATCTATGTGTTACGTGTAAAACATGAAGTTAGATCCTTATTATATACAATATAAAAGAAAATAAATTCCTGCCCTAATGGAGTTTATGTTGTTAATGGTAAATATAAATTGTCTAGACATGCTGTGATTTTCAGTCTGATCATGAAGATCACTTAATACTTTGCTGAAAATGTACTCCTTTAACAATCTCATGGAGCAGTAAGAGAAGCTTTCTTTTGATGAAAGGAATGAGGAGTATTGTTATTGTCAATTGTCATTTATAGATATAGGTATATATACATCCACACACCTACACAAACATATATCCTATTAGAAAAAACTTATTTACACAAAATTAATGCTAAAAAGTGACATGCTTCTAAAACTGGAAGCCAGAGGAAATATGCATTAGGTAATTCATGTGTTTCTCACAAGAAGACTTGGATTTCAACTGTATCTCTGTCATTTGAGAGCTAGGCAACTTGCACAAATTTATTAACTATTTGTCTTATTTTCTCATGAATAAAATGTGAGTCATAATGTCTATTAGCCTCAAGGGTATATGAAAGTACTTATAAACTACAAAATGATGTGTAATATTTTAATAGATAATATGAAATGATGGGTAAGTTCTAGAATTTTTTTAAATCTGGAAATTATGTAATAAATAATTACAATGATTAGGAAAAAGAATACTAATTCAGTTTCAAAGTGAGTTTCACATAAAAGTTTATGTGTAAATGGGGAGATAAGAACATTCCATGGGAATCACAAAGGAAGGCAGCACAAGTTGTATGATTACCATCAGGCAGACTAAAATTTACAGTAATCTAAATATTGTCAAAATTGTAAGTTCAAGGGCAAAAACAAGAAAAAAATTAAAGGTTACCTTCAAAATTGATAAACGAGAAAGCTTAAGATCAAGAGCATATAGGATAAAGTGCATGCATGCTTTTTTTTGGTTGTTGTTGTTAGAGTATAGAATAATCATGATTAAGAAGGCCTTAAAGCTCAGTGTTAGGGAGAGGATTATTTAGAGGATATCAAGCTGTTTTAAATGAGTTACATTGAATTATGCCCTTGGATAATGTAACAACTTGCAGATTTGATCTTACAACCATTGTCACCACCTGATAAATCACAAGAATAATAACTATTGTCAAAAGTTGTATGTGATAAAAAAAAGTCAAATTTCAAAGTAATGGAAAGAGCAAATTCCAGAAATACAGGAAAAAAAAAGAGTTTGACACATAGCAGTGGCACAAATATACAGCAAAACTATTCTATTTTGAAAATATTTATGAGACATCACCATTTTCAAAGAATTATATTCAATTGTGATCATTAAAGATTAACGTAACATGAAATGTACACTCTTGCTATAATCAGGATCCTGGATAAACAGACATGTGATAAGGGTGGTGATAGATTTGCGTACAAATGGTCTGAAGCATGAAGAGGTAATACCAATATTATCTAGGGAAGTGGCAATAGACTTTATATGGGAGATAATTTTTTAAACTGAATGCTAAGGAGGCAAAATACAGTTTCACATACAGAGACACAAATCTTTCAGCGCATTCGCAAAATGAGTAAGGTGCCAATAATTTACTAAGAACAAATAATATAAAGCTGGCATGGTGAACAAAACAATAAATCAGGAGTCAGGCAGTATGGTCTGTAGTCTAATACTAAACTACATGAGCTTAGTCGAGGTACTCAGGATTTTATATATATATATATATATATATATATATATATATAATTAATATAAATATATAATATTCAATAAATATTAATAAATTATTGATTTAAAATGTTATAAATCTATATTAATTATACTTATA